CAACAACTAAATTTGTTTAAAGATGAATCTAGCTGAGAAATTTTCTATCTGTAAGAGTACCTACTGATATAAGTTTTCAGAGCTTGCACAAAATTATGGTAACCTTCAACATCTTTGGAAACCTTTTCTAAAAATCATCAGAAAGTTTAAGTGTTCTCTTGTCTGCTTTGATCATTTACAAAACACATACCAGCTTGCATAAAAATTAAAAAGATGGATCCAACTTCAACAGTTTTCAGTAATGTGAGCGAATGTGGGGGTTGCACTACGCTTTATTGACAAACTTTGGAACTGTAGCCCTAGAAACTTGAAAGCATTTGATTATTTCTCATATTTTTTCTTAGTTCACCAACAAAATAAATGTGAACGTCTTAATTTCCTTAAGATAGTGAATCTAGCTTAGAAAGTATCTAGCTGTTGCTGCATCTATTGACAAAAAATTAATCTGAGCATATGTCTAAATACTACTGAGTTTTGACATCCCTGGAACATTATTTTCGTATTATTCAGAAATTCAAAATGTTCTCCCAGCTGCTATTTTGGTCATCTGCAGGATAATTGCCAATATTAAAAATTGCTGAAGACAGTAACAACAGCTTCTAGCTGAGAGATCTTCAAATATTTTATTATTTTCCTTATGATCACTGACAAAGTAACTGGCAACATCCAGAAAAATAACTTGATCATCCAAGTGACATTTTCTATTAGCCAAAGCGAATCAGAGTATGTTTGGATATTAAATTTATTTACACGTTTTTAGAATTTTTTCCATATATTTTTTATACATTCACACACGTTTTTGTTATCTAACTGAAAACAATTCTAGATGTATGAACGTCTTTTTTATGAAATACAAATCAGAGCCTGAACAGTGTAAACATCTCTTGAAGTATTATAACAGTGTTATGATAATTTATAAATGTTTATCTTGTCATGCTTTTGGATATCTGCAAAACAGTTGCTAGGGTATAAAACTTGAAGAAATATGGATCCAATTGTGAGAACGTTTAGTTGTGAGGGGACTCAATGTACGTGGTGATGCACTGAGTATGCTTAAACATATTTGAAACTGACACCTGAAACACTTGATGCATTCTAATGTAGATGTTTCTCATGTCATGCTTCTGGTCATCTGCAAAACAACTGCCAACATAACACATTTGACACGCAATGAGTCTAGTTTTTCACACAGTTTGATTGTGATAACTTATAGTATATTGGTAGTTGATTTTACAAATTCTTACTGTTTTTCCTGTCCGACTTTTTGGTCATCTGCAAAACTACTGGCCACAACTATAATTTTGTTTGAAGAAGAATCTGTATGAGAAAATGTATAGCTGTGAGACCATCTGTTACATAACATAACCCTTGACCTGTTAGGGTCATGGAGGTGTATCAATGAAATCATTAACACACAAAACCAGCTATCTTTCTCTGTCTTCTGCTTGTAGAACAAATGTATGATAACCTAGACTTGTCCATTTCTTGATGTTATCATTCCAGATTTGTTTTTTCCCTCCTCTTCTTTGACTACTCTCATCCCCCTCCCCATCTCAATTGTGTCATGTGACAGAACCAAGCTTGCTTGCAATGTTTAACAACTGTCAGGAGGGTCTCCGGATGTCCTGCTAATTTGTTTATTTTGTCTCTGACATATTTTTTAGTTTTATGGTCTAAAAAAATACAAATTTATAAAAGTTGTCTACAGTATTTATATTCAAAAGCCGGAATCCTCTTTTCCATATCCACAGTAGACTAAGTACGTTCAGTCCTTTTTAGGATGACATTTTTTTTAATTTGAAGCCCTACTCTGGCTCTTGCCAGGGGCTGCAATATAGCCTGGCCATTAATATGGCTGAAAGCAGTTTCTGGGACCTCTCCACGGTGATCCTCCCCCACATGGTGGCACTTTGTGTCATCGGGTGTTTATCGCTTGTGTGATGTCCTGGTGGGGTAGAAAGTCAGTCAGTCAGTAGACTATCTGTTAATAAGAGCATAGTCAGTCTGTTACGAAATCTTGCTAGTTGTTGGCATCTGTGGAAAAATTATCTCACAATTTTCAGACATTCTAAACACTTTTACTGTCATGATTTTGGTCATCTGCAAAGCAGTTGCCAAGATCTAACATTGTAAAGGATAGATCTAAATGTAAAAGCTTCAAGTAGTGAAAGTAAATCAAAGCTTATTTATGGTGGTGCATTGAGTTTGTGTTTGCATATTTAGAACGGTTGCCTGAAAAACTTGCCAAATTCAAATTATTTCTCCTGTCTTCCTTTTGGTCTTCTGAATAACAGCTGCCAAGATCTAAAAATCTGAACATTATGGAACCTAGCCACCGGTGGCAATGCTCTTTTGTGACAGCTTATTATATTTAGAACCATTATCTCAAAATTTTAAGAAAGTCAAAGTGTTCATCTTTTGCTTTTGCTCAACTGCAAAGCAGCTCTAACTTTTGAAATCTTAAAAAGATGGATCTACATATGAGAGCTTTTAGTGAAAATGATTCCGAGCATACATTGATGCATCTAGTTATTTGATAATGATTATCACAGCCTGAAAAGAATTTTGCAGCGGGGAGGGACCAGGGATCTGTCTGTGTACACTCAGAGAAAAAGCAAGATGGATAATTAATCAAACTGTTGTTACTGAATTTGAACTCGGCTGGCTGCTGATGATGGGGACAGACCACTTATGGTGATGTATCCAGTGCTGCATTGTTGTTTTCAACTCAGCTCAACTGCAGAGAGTCTTAGGATGTAACCAGGTCAGGATTTAACAGAGCACAGATAGATTACTTTGATTGGGAAACGAACAAGCAGATAAACTTGCTGGTTTTGCACCACTTGGTGGTGAACTGATGTACGGAGGTACAGAAGGATCTTTACGATCAGAGGAGAATGGTGCTGTGAGCAGTGACCCGGCGATCTGGTCAAGGGAAAGGCGAGACGGATATACAATCAGATAGATAGATCATACCATCGGGACTGGAAATTCTATGCTTGCGTCTGGAGATGGGCAATGTCTCGGCGCTGTGATGGTGATTTTGATTTAACATTCAACAGATGATTGGTAAAATGTGTGTAGAAAACATAACGGAAAACAATCATGGGGAACATTGAAATAAGGGCATTGACAGATCAGCATTCAAACTCAGAAGACATCGTCTACACAGATGGGTTTGTGAAGTATGGATTAAGGTCAACGTGGGCATACACGGTATAAAATCTGGTGCTTACCAGGCAACTACTTCTAGCACTGCTGTTCTCACCCTTTAGGTCGCGACCCTTTATTTGGGGAGGGTGGGGGGGGGGGGGTGGTTAAACCACAGGGGTCACAGGGGTCGCTAAAGACCATAGCAAAACAAGTATTAATTGAAGTTATGAAGTAACGACCAACAAAATTGTAGGGTTGGGTGTCGCCACAACACGGGGAACTGTATTAACTCTTTGAGTCCCAGAGAGTTTAGCATCACAGGCCCAAGAAGTAGTCAGAAGAGACTAAAATCAGCGCATCATGCGTTCATTGGGCTTCTAGGCATTAACCTGTGAACGTATGATGCGTTCCTTGGGACTCAAAGAGTTAAATGTTCGCCACAACATGAGGGCCTGTAATAAGGGGTCGCTGAATTAGAAAGGTTCAGAACCACTGTTCTAGCATGATTGTTGATATAACCGCTGCTTCTAGAGCACTCACTTTGGTAGCAGAACAAGCAACCAGACATGCGGTAATTGTATCAGACTCGATGAACACAATTGCAACATGTAGTTTTTGCTGGTCGGCTCTGTGGCTAAGTCGATGCCAACGCTTCGTAATGCCGGGTTCGACCCCCAGCTGCGGGCCATGGGCCTTGGGTTGGTTTCGACAGTGGTATCAAGAAAGCCGACCGTCCAGGAAGCAGTGGCAAACTACTGGACGTAAATTTGCCTAGAAAAACTACACAAAAGCCAGGGGCTGTTGGGGTTGGTTCTGCAGCGTCCTGTAAAGGATACGCAACTAACCTAGTTTTTGCTCTCAATGGACAGAAAGCATTCAGAAGTCAGACTTAACCTCTGACACCTGGATTTAGACAGCTATGTATGCATGAGTAAAGGGTAATGCGGACAAGATGGCAAGTATTGCACCAATGCAAACGGGAAAAAACACGAAGAGAGCTGATATCATCAACACTGTATGGACGAAGCTGGCGAATAATCATGAATCTCAGATGCTAACACAATTGCGTCACCTGGGTGTAAAGCTTGGCGAGGCAAGTCAATGCCATCCTTGAGGCCAGGACATGGGAATGCTCAGTGTGCAGAGACATCGACTGTGATAACAAAGCATTTTAAAAACATCAAGGAGAAACGTGAGGAATAGCACACACTGCTAGAATCATCATCAGCATCATCATCATAATCAGGTGCCTTGCCGACTGGCGTGGGCAATTATGCATCTGCACAATCCTCGATCTCCTGCAGCTTTTATCAGTTCGTGTGCTGACACACCTCCATGCCATCCAACAAGACTGTCAAGAATCTTCTCTCGCTGTCTTCCTCTATCCCTCCTTCCACAGATCTTTTCAGTGGTCACAACATGTTCCATTTTCCCTCTTCTCATAACAGGGCCAAAAAATGATGACTGTCTCCTTCTGATGTCTGTCATAAGTTGTCTTCGGGCTCCTGCCTCTTTCCAAAACCTCTTGGTTGCTCATTTTGGTTGTCTAAGGTATTCTAAGAATTCGTCTGTAAAACCACATCTCTGAGGCCTGAAGAAATTGTTTGGCCTGCCTACCGATTGTCCAGGATTCACAGCTATATGTTAAAACTGGATGTATGTAGCAAGCAAGAATTCTTTTTTTTTTTTAAACTCTCAATGACAAAGATATATTGCACAAGATGTTCTTCATTTTATAAAATGCAGTTTTTGCCTGTCCTATTATGTTGCTTATCTCAGTTGTGCCTCGCTGGAATGATACAAGGCTTTAAAAAAAAATATTAAGAAAATAAACTGCACACACTTAATCATAAATCATGCTCAGACAACAACCGTTCGTGTATCTGTGACTCCTCTGGACCCTCGTTGTCATCTGGTTTGAGCACGGTCACTTCCATGGAAGGATCACTTCTTGTGGTAGTTAGAGACACTAAACTTTCAGGAGACGGTGACTGACAACTGGAGAAGTATTTGTTGCAGAAAACACGCCGAAAGTTATCCCCAAATATCAGGTACACAGCGCAACTGACACACGTGTCCAGGTTGTAGATGAGTCGAAATACATGCATTAGGATGCCATCAGTTCTGAAATAATGCTGACAGTTAGTAGAAGTCTACATGTTTCGGTGCTTTCTTTTTAGCCGACCACAAATGACGTCATGGAACAGTCCAGTATTTTAGAGGGTGGTAAGAGCCGGTTTTATGTGGTTTCTATTCTTTAGCTCGTTTCTTACTAGGTTTTTCGCACGTTTACCAAACCCTAACCCCAACCATAACCCTGACCCAAACCAAAACTATACGCTAAACGTGTCCAGTGGAGTTCCACTGTTTGTGGTCGGCTAAAAAAAAAAGCACTCATGTTTCTAAGATGAATTTCATGGCAAAGAAGAAAACATCGCATTAAGTCGCAAGACAAGATCCAAACAATGAGGAAATAGCAGGTATTAAAACAGTTTTCTTAATGCACTGGCGAGGTTCCTCCAATCTAATATTTTTGGGGGTGGTAGATAGGCTGCATGCAGTCGTGGGCCCTAGGCTGCATGCAGTCGCGGGACCTAAGCTGCCCTCTTCTCGTGGGACCTAGGTGGGTTGGGGTTAGAGCCAGTTTTAGATGTTTTGGGGTAGTTAAAAGCATTAGAAAGCCGGGAAACCCAGTCTTACCTCACTCTCAAACGTTGTACTGGGGTAGGATACTAATAAAGCACCCTTCTAACTTCTTCGTCTTTTCGTTCTCCCTCCCAGGGTTGTTCAAATGAGACCACCACTATCCTCTAAAAAGTCTATGATGCGACCCATACCTTCCACGGCTCCAGCCAGCTTGGTTTTCACCGGAACGCCAGCAGGCCAACTCTACGATCTTTGCTGAAACTGGAGAGTATTCAGTATTCCCAACTGACAGATTCCAAAAGTAAATTCCCAACCCTCAGAGCCAGGCAAACAACTGAACTTCTTCAACACAGAAACCCCTCTGTATCACTTGAGGTTAAATCTTTAAAGACATTAGACTGTCTTCAGAAGACAGAAGGAAAACAGTTGTGACAGAAATGAAATATGTACGTACTATCCTAGGTGTAGTCGGCTCTGTGGCTAAGTCGATGCCAACGCTTCGTAATGCCGTGATGCTGGGTTCGATCCCAGCTGCGGGCCGCTCGCCTTGCGTTGGTTTCGACAGTGGTATCAAGAAGCCTACCGTCCAGAGGCAATGGCAAACTACAGGACGTAAATTTGCCTAGAAAAACCACATAACAGCCAGGGGCTGCTGGGGTTGGTTCTGCAACGTCCTGTAAAGGATACGCAACTAACCTGTCCTAGGTGTAACGAGAAAAGATGAACTTAACAACGATGAATTCAGGAGGAGAATTGGCATGAACCAATACTGAACTTTATAGTTAGACAACAAATCAAATGGTATCGCCGTCCTTCGAAGTCGGAGTGCATCTGCCTGAGAGGCAAGGAACCAGCAGTCTGTATACAAATGAGTCAGATCTGTAAAATTGATGCACACGCAACACTCAGGTTCTGGAACAGGACTGCAGTCCAGAAGTGGATGAACAACGAGAACTTTCCGCCAGAGTTTACAGCTGGTGAACGCAAAGAAGAAAGAAGAAGAAGAAGAAGAAGAAGAAGAAGAAGAAGAAGAAGAAGAAGAAGAAAAAGAAGAAGAAGAAATGGTTTGGCCATGTAATAAAGTTGGTATCAGACAGGGCTAAGATTCTTTAGACTCAATCTTGAGTTAGAAGTAGAACGGAGCACTTATGGGTTACTACCCTCGTACCATGATGTCGATCAGTTGTTCAAACCATTATCACATCTCTCTTTTCCTTATAGAGGGTCTTACAGAACAGCTTTTGATTTTCTCTTGCATTCTTTTTCAGCGTTTCTCCAAATTATTCAGTTGTTTAATTACCTAGAGCTGCTTTTGGAAGGATGAGACAAATCTGGAAATCCAACAATTACTGCAGAGGAACGAAACTCCGACTCTACAAGAGCATCATTTTGCCAGTTCTTCTTTATGGAGCAGAATGCTGGAGAATGACCAAAAAGGATGCACACATGCTGTCCACCTTCCACCACACATGTCTACGTAGAATTATCAAAACTTTCTGGCCAGATACAATCTCGAACACTAAACTACTTTTAGTCACAAACCAAGAAACTTTAGACAGTCTGATAACCAAGAGAAGATGGAAATGGTTTGGCCACGTTATGAGAATGAATCCTGATATACCTGCCAAAACAGCTCTCACATGGACACCAGAGGGAAAGAAAAAACAGGGGCGCCCAAAAACAACATGGAGACGAATGATGGAAAGTGAACTAAGTGCGGCATCTTTGACATGGAAAACTGCACTGAAGATTGCACAGGACAGGAAAGCATGGAAAGTCCTCTCTGAAGCCTCGTGTGCCACTAGGCATAACGAGAACTGTTGATGATGATAAACAGAGACGATATTCAGGCAATAACTCACACCTGGACATGTCTACCGCGTTTGCGTTTGTACAAATATATGCCACCAACAACACTCACAGACCACGGTTGCAAAAAGGATTTTTTATCAAAACTCACGCTAAGCTGACCACAAAACCCAAGTAATACATAAGCAAACATGAAAAACAAAAACAAAACCCAAGATTAATAAAAAATTTTACCCGGTCAGCGCCGTTAGGCTACTCTTGTCGATTTCAAACTAACGATGGATTTTTTACTTGCGCAACAATGCACACAGGCGTCTGATCTCACTACCCAAAGACCAGGAGCAATAGCTAGAAGTCTAAGTCTACGTGAATAAATCCTACCCTTACCGGGGATTGAACCCAGAACTTCCAGGCAGACACCATGCATCAAGTCCACGCAGCCCCAACTTTATGTAAGGATTTATTCTCAAAAACACAAGATTTCAAAATCTTAACCCAAGGCGTCACATAAAAACCCATATCTTTAGGAAAAACCCAAGTATCGGAAGCCCTAGAACCAGGGCTGCCAATTGGATTTATTGGAAAAACCCAGCTCAGCTGAACAAAAAAAAACCCAAGCAATACAAAGCCCAAAACAAAATAAAAAAACTGAGATTATTAAAATTTTACAAAATTTATATTCACGAAACGAAAGATTTACAACTTTTATATAAGGATATATTAAAAAAAAAAAAAAAAAAATAGATTTCCCCCAGGCGAGAATGCGGTCAATATCGAGGCATCTCTCTTTTAAGCCATGTTGGCAAAATGTATGCCAAGATAATAGAAACAAGACTGAGACCAGTGATAGAACCACAGCTGGCAGAAGAACAGATGGGATTTAGGAGAAATAGAAGCTGCACAGATGCAATCTTCACACTAAAACAGTTAATAGAAAAGAACATTGAATACAATAAGAACTTATTTGTGGCATTCGTAGACCAGGAGAAGGCATTTGACAGAGTCGACAGACAATTATTATGGAAAATAATGGCAAGATATGGAGTAAGCGAACACCTCATCGAAGTGTGCAAAAGTTTATACAGGGATTGTAGAAGTGTAGTTAGAATAAATCAGGGAAAATCTCATCCATTCACAGTAACATCTGGAGTAAGACAGGGGTGTGTCTTATCACCACTGCTGTTTATCACCTACATCGACAGTATATGCAAGAATGCCAAGCCCATGAATGAAGATTTTAGTAAGATCAACGAATTACTCTTTGCAGATGACCAGGCCTTGATAGCAGATACAGCCATGAAATTGCAACAACATCTAACATCCATGAATGAAGAATGTAAAACAAATAATATGAGAATCAACACTGAAAAGACAGAAGTAATGTCAATAGGAAAAAAGAAGACAGATCTAAACATAGCAATAGAATACAAAGGCATTAAACAGGCATCTGAGTTTAAATATCTGGGAACTACATTTACCGAAGATGGGAAATTGGATAAAGAAATTGACATTAGATGCAGTAAAGCAAACCAAGTATTGGGACAGCTAGCCCCCCTCTTACAGCATAAGACAATCCCAATCAGCACAAAGAGACATCTTATTCAAAGCATATTTATTCCAACTCTGTGCTACCAGTGCCAGACATGGTCACTCACAACAAACCATAAAAGAAAATTAGTAACCACGGAAATGAGATGTCTGAGAAGGGCTGTAGGAGTGACCATAAGAGATAGGATCAGGAATGAGATCATAAGAGAACAAGTCGGCACAGAACCAATTCTGGATTACATACAAAGACAGCAAGTGAAATGGTTTGCCCACTTAGAGAGAATGCCTTGTGACATCATACCATACAAAGCATACATGGAAAGAGAAGAAGGACGTAGAGCACGGGGTAGACCAAGAACAAGATGGAAGGATAACATCAGAGAAACTCTACAACAGCACGATGTGCCTATGGTCGAGGCAGCCAGAAGAGCTAGAAACAGAACCTTATATCTCCCTCGACACCCACAGCGGTAAAAGAGGAAGTGAAGAAGAAGAAGAAGTCAAATAAAAACCCAGATCAAGGGGGAAAACCCAGCATCGGCAGCCCTGCATGGGACCAATACAAGGTGCACGTGTATTCTCACCTGGACGGAAGTGTTCCGGTGATGGCTAGAATAAAGACCTTGACTCGGATAGCGTGGAAAGGGGCGTGCAGGAGTAGGAACGCCACAGACACGGCAAACAGCAGTCTGGTCACCCGGCTTTCTGGGGAGCACTTGCTGTCTGTCTGCTGTTTTCTGAGGGAAGAAAAATGTCTGTCTTTAGAGTGGGCAACAATTCTGGTTATCTTCGTGAAAGAGCACGCATGTGTGTCTATGTCTGTGGGAGGGAGAAAGGAGGGGAGAAACAGACATATAAGAGATCTATAATGAAGCGAATTACAGACGTTAGCACAGGCAAAAGGGCAGGTATGCAGATAGACAGACACACACACATTTATACAGACAACAGGAAGCTAGGTAGGGAGAGAGGTAAGTGGAAAGATGTATAGATAGGCAACCATACAGAGGGGCAGATAGGCTGACCAACCGACAGACAGACAGAGACAGACAGACAGACAGACAGACAGACAGACAGACAGACAGACAGACAGACAGACAGACAGACAGACAGACAGACAGACAGACAGACAGACAGATAGATAGATAGATAGATAGATAGATAGATAGATAGATAGATAGATAGATAGATAGATAGATAGATAGATAGATAGATAGATAGATAGATAGATAGATAGATAGATAGATAGATAGATAGATAGATAGATAGATAGATAGATAGATAGATAGATAGATAGATAGATAGATAGATAGATAGATAGATAGATAGATAGATAGATAGATAGATAGATAGATAGATAGATAGATAGATAGATAGATAGATAGATAGATAGATAGATAGATAGATAGATAGATAGATAGATAGATAGATAGATAGATAGATAGATAGATAGATAGATAGATAGATAGATAGATAGATAGATAGATAGATAGATAGATAGATAGATAGATAGATAGATAGATAGATAGATAGATAGATAGATAGATAGATAGATAGATAGATAGATAGATCTACTTATTGTATTGCATAAAATGTTTTTTTTTTTTTTTTTAAATGTAACACACATTTAGTCTAGTTAAACATTCAATCTTTCAGTTTCAGTAATTGTTAATTATTGCAGTCTTTTGTTTTGTAGTCTTGTTAATTCTAACTATTTTCGTGTTGATGCTGTCATGTTCTATTTGTAGTCCGCGTCATCTTTAGTCTCCCAGGAAAACCCAATTGCACGCATTAATGAGATTGTCATCCTTTGTTTTCTAGGTTCATTACCCTAGTTTGTATGTATGTGTGTGTGTGTGTGTGTGTGTGTGTGTGTGTGTGTGTTTGTGTGTGTGAGCGCGCGCGTGTGTATGTGTGTCTTTAGGTCCAGACCGAGCCGGACGTGAGTTCCCGTTCTGACGGTACTGGTTAGGTTAGTTGCGTATCCTTTACAGGACGTTGCAGAACCAACTACAACAACCCCTGGCCGTTGTGTGGTTTTTCTAGGCAAATTTACGTCCAGTAGTTTGCCATTGCTTCCTGGACGGTCGGCTTCTTTGATACCACTGTCGAAACCAACGCAAGGCGCATGGCCCGCAGGTGGGATCGAGCCCGACCGTACTGGACTTGAGTAACAGGTACAGTCCTGGGGAGTAAAGGCGCTCGTGTGATCACATCACCCAGCGAGTGCCGACTGGTCTATAAAATATAGATCTATAAACTACATGCCCAATACGCCTAAAGACGTGGAAAAGGGTCATTTGCTTGTCTTTAAATCAAACAAAAATTGAAATCACCTTGAAGGTGAGTTTTTTCTTTTAGCTGCATCTCTACAATATGTCGATTTGTTAGTTTTTACGAAAAACCAGAAGGGTCTTCTTCTTCTTTGTTCACTGGCTGTAAGTCCTGGTTGTTCGTCCATTTGGACTTTGGCTTTGTGCCAGGGCCTGCGTTTTGCGTGTACATCCGTTTTACTGGCTTATTCGTGTGCAGTTGGTTGTTCCTTGCCGCTTTGGCAGAAGCACTCCGACTTCGAGAAAAGTTCCCAGTTAGTCGAATTCTTCGATATATTTGCTGGGAAAGCAGTGGATCTATTCTTGTTGTCCCCCACACGGAGAAACCTGAAGCTTGTAGAGTACGAAGAAGCTCAGTTACATGATGGAACGTCAACATCGGAGACACCCTACAACGGCACACTTTGTCTTTGTTCGAGGCGGCCAGCAGAGCAAGTAAGTTAGTCGCGTATCCTTTACAGGACGCTGCAGAACCACACCAGCATTTTTTGGCTGTTGTGGTTGTTCTGGGCAAATTTTACGTTTAGAATTTTGCCATTGATTACTTAACGGTCAGCTCTCGGTATCACTGTCGAAAGCAACCCAAGACAAATCCGCCCGCAGCTGACCCGGCAACCCGGCATTACGAAACACGTTCGCAACACTTAAGATACAGACGCCGACTACAGAACAATTAGCAGAACCTAATATGTCCATAGACACTTGAAGTAGTACAAGAAGAGATGAAGAAGAAGAAGAAGTAGGCCACACATAATGAACTGTACGGTACATTTTTGGGTGCTTTCCCAATATCTTCGCCGCCCCCCCCCCTCGGTTCTACTCAATTGTATTGGAATGCACCCTTTTTAATGGTTTAGTGAAAACTACAGTTTCCTGGATGATGTTCGCGGTAAATTGGTTGTAATGATTGATGAGGTCGAGTAAGCTTCGGATCCCCTTATTGGTGGTGGGGTTTTTAAAATTCAAAAATTTGGGGAAATCCTCAAAATAAATATGTACTTTTGCGGGTTTTTCTGTAAATCCAAAATGTTGGGTTCCTTGACCATCAGATAATCTATGAGGCATCATTAATAAACATGCACATGTCAACAGTATACATTGCAATATCAGAAATAATAAAGCATGTTTTATTTTGACCGGTTTGTTGATTACTGACAGCAAATGATGGTACATTTGTGTACATCTGCCTGGTACATCAGATAGTACATTACCAATTTCAGCTTTCTGTGTAGATGTTTCTGAAATTTGTTTGTTAATCTTAGGTGTCAAGATTTGTTTGGTTGCAGGTAAGTGTTGTTGTACAGAAAAGAGAATATCTGTCGTATCAACAGCATTAGAGTCAGGAATGACAGTTCTATTATGAAACTCCTCAACCACTAATTTGTCAGTTGGTTTAGAAGGGAGTATGAACAATTCTTTGGAATAAACATTATCAGTAAAAATGTCATGTTTATTTGTGTAGAGGTTTGTTTAAGTTGATAGAAAGAGACAGTTAAAATATTTTTCATACATACATTTTCATTCACATCTCTCTCTCTCTCTCACTGACTGCTGTCCAGTTACAACATTGCAAGTTATGTTGTCCCTCTGCCACTCGATTATCTCACTTTCAGAGACATCCTTTACATTTTTACAGTTGCCTAGGATAATATCAGCAACAGGGTCTGCTAGCACTGCAAATTTTGTTCTACCTGTGCAGTGAGCTGATTTTAGATTAGCCCATGCCAAATCATACTTTTCTTTCTTCCCTGAAAAGGTTCGACACACAATATGTTCACCCGTCAAATCACACGCATTCACTAGACTTTCCCTTATACCCAACACTGACGACCCAGAATCCCGTAAAATTGTCACAACTTTTCCATTAACAACCCCTTTCGTGAACTTCAACTGGCCATCGAAACTCGTTACAGCATTTGCATCCCCTATCACACTGTGACCACAGGTCAGATTACCGTCTTCATTAAACTCTCTGAAGGTCTGGCATCCTGTGTCAGAGAAGTTCACAAGCTCAGCTGAATTTGCTGTAGGTACATCTGCCATACTCCCATCAGAGAACCTACTTCCAGAGTCACTGCCACTGTCAGATATTTCTGCAGCCGCACTCTGATGCTGTCTTCTTCTCATCTTACAGTATTTTTGTAAATGATCAATCGAGTCGCATAGTCGACACTGGAGTGGGTAGTTTACTGAACTTTTCTCATGCATTTCTTTCTCTCTCTTCCGAAAATGATCTTCATACTTTGGATTCTGCTCACACCACTGTCGTTGACCATGATCTCTCTTACAGTAAAGGCATGTAACTATTGGACCTTTATCTCTCACAGGTCTGTAACTCTTATACTCTCTCGAGTATTCTCCTTTCTTCTGAGTATATTGCTTTTTCCTGTATACAGGTTGTACTGCAGCTCCGTAGCTGATGTCTGCACCCTTATTGAAACTAAAAATGTTTCTGTGTGCATTCCAGTATGCAGCACCTGCATCTTCCATCTGCTTTACTGTTTCAGGTTTTTGCTCAATCAAAAACGTCATCATGCTGCTCGGGACACTTGACAACACCTTGTCTCTTATCAATAGATCTTTTAACAAATCGTATGATTTGTTCACTTTCGCAGATGTTACCCACTTGTCAAAATTGGATACCACCTCAGACATGTAATCCAGAAATGTCTGTTCAGCTTTCGGAATCAAATTTTTGAAAGTATTTCTGTAAGATTCTTCATCCAGGGAGAAATGTTGGAGAATTCTATCCCTGACATAGTAATAATCCTCAAGTTTTTCAGTAGGGATTGTCTCTAGTAATTTCAAAGGTTCACCCCCTAGATGTTTTCGGTAAATTAGTGACCACTCTTTAAAAGGGACCTCATAGTGATTAACCATACATTCAAAATTTTGTGTCCAAGCAGATATGGAATCACCCTGTGTAAAAAATTTTATTAGGCCCTGGTACTTTTTGAAAGAAGGTTCAGCAGCCTTTATCTCAGCCTTACGCATCTGCACCTCGGCATCTCTAGTTGCTTCTATCTCTTTGGCCTTTAGTTCCATCACCAGCCTTTCTTTCTCCAGCTCTGAATTGCATACCATCTCTTTGAGTCTTAAGGTAGAGGTGTGTTCTAGCTCTTTGTCCTTTATCAACAACTGTACCCTGTCTCTCTCAGCCATCGCAGATAACTCCTGTTGTTTGAGAGCTACATCTTTGTCTTTTAATGCCGCTTGGGCTTCCAGCTGTTTTTCTAGGGTAATAGCCTCAATCTCCTTTAGTTTACTAGCGGCTTCTAGTTCCAATTTCTTGAGCTCTCTCTCGTCAGCTCTGTCTTTTCTATCTTGGTCACGTTCCTCTTTTTCTCTCAACTCTCCATATTTCTTATCCGCCCATTCCAGCACCTTTTCACCCGTCATCCCAT